AACTGACCCCAGCTGCCACCTCCAGACTCACGGGAGAGGAGGAACCTCATTTGCTTGTCAGATTTTCTGTCGCCTGCAGACAAAAGAATTCCCAACTGATACGCTATCTTAAAATCTTTATAAAATAAGGCCAGGCATAAGTGAAAAGCCATGGTTCATTCATAACTACCAAAATGTACGGTATTCATTAGATTTTGCAAACATTTGTACGTGCAAATAGGAAAAGGAAGGGCAGGGATGATACTGCAATGTTAACTGCAGGGTTTCTGAGAACTGGGCAATTTTCTGTTCTTTTCGTATTTGTTTGCATTTCCCATTACAACTTATCACATTTATCATCATAAAAGATTAATGACCATGACTTTCATTTTCTGAAGTTCTAGTTTTGGAAAAAGTCTGCCAATTCCTCTCATTGTTCTCTCATTATGGTCTGTAACCTTAGATCTCTTAAATCGTGTCCCTAATAAACACTCAAAGGACGAGCACAGTACGTGTTGCACCACTGGCCCAACCGTGGCCGTCACGGAGGACGCAGGGCTTGCCCTGGGCTACGTTCTCCCCCCCACGGTGGGGCCCCAGGTGCGCAGGGGCCAGACTGTCTCCTCCTGCTCCCGGCCTTCCTACCACACTTTGAAGCTTTGGTTTTGTTGTGGAAAATGCATGAATGAATGAATAAAAAAGTTAACCAAAGGGTTGAGTATCTTTGGGGAGATTGGTAACATGGGGCCAGGTCGGATCCAAACGGGAACCTCCAAAGCTCCTCAGCCTGTCTCTCCAGACGGCACACAGAGGCCTCGGGGTGTGTTGTCAGTACCCCGCATCCCTAATATCAATTAAGGAACAAAATAACAGCAGAGGATGAGACCCTCAGAACAGCAAGCTCTGCTGGGCCAAGTAAGGACAGAAACGGACGACAGACAGACTCCACGCCCTACTGAGGCCAGAGTGGACCGTCCTGAGAGGCAGTCGGCAGAGGAAACGTACCAGGCGCATCCAGGCGCAGGGCCATCTCAGGACGAAGCTAGAGCCGCCCACAGGCCCCAGGGCCCAGCGCTGTCACACCACTGAGCTCACACGGAGGTGGGACGTTAATTGTCTTCATGGGATGGCATTTGATTGTTTTCCATTTTTATCTCAAGGAAAAACTTCATTCTGACACTATCGCAGAACAAAGAAGATCTTACGGCTCAAAGTTTACATGGCCGCTTTCCCATTCTTCCGATGGTTGTGTTTTCCTTCCAAAATTATATGTTTCCCCTTGGGCTTGAGGTCATGTCGTTCTCCCGCCCGGTCCATCGATGGTTATTTGCTCAGGGGCAGCCTGCTGCCCACCTCTGGGCCACAGGTTCCGTTGGACACAGTAGAAGGAAACACACCTGCTTCTGAAATCTGTGTGTGGAGACGGAAGTCAGGAAAACGGGCACTGATGCAAGCAAAGAGGGTCTCAGAGAACAAGGACATCTGTGTGAAATCATGTACCCAGGGAAGAGGGGGGTTGGCCGCGGGATCAGGCGGTGCGGCTTCGGGAAGCACGAGGGGGAAGGAGTGCCTTTCCAGGCCGGAGCATCGTCCCGGTGGCCGTGGCAAAGGTGCGGCGGGCGGTCAGCGGGGCGGGGCGGGGGCCACAGGGCGGACGTTCACTCGGCCACCCCGAGGGGACAGGACCCTGCGAGGGCTGCTCAGAAAGAAGGGCCTTGGGAAGAGGGCGGTGATCTTGGAGCGA